CTAATTTTTGGACAATCCCTTATTGAAAATTTATTTAAAGATATTTTTTTTTTAAACATAAACAAGTTTTATATAAAAATATAATTCCATAATTTTCATTATATTTTAGTAAACATACATGAATAAATAACTAATTAGTAAATAATCAATTTCATAAATAATTATTAACAATTTTGATAAACAGTAAGCAAATAATATTACTATTACTATTATATTTACGTTACAGATATTGATTCGAAATTTAAATTTAAGTTTATTTATTGATTTTACAAAATATGAATATTTCAATCCAAGTACACAAATATACAGTATTTTATTTCTTTTCGATTTTGAGTCAACTAACTGAAAATCTAAAATAAAAACACATAAGTTTTTGAGTGAAAGAAGTTTTTTTTTAATTTTAGATGGTATTAAATTATAAATATTGTCATTAGGTGCACTAATTAATTATTTTAAATCCATTAGGATAACTAATTATTACACAAATAATAGATATTTTGTGACATTTTTATCAATCCTCCTTCTAGTATGTGACGTGATATTATTATAAAAAAATTTTTTGAGTTAACAATTTAGGATAACTAAGCTGCAATAAAAATTTAAATAAAATTCTTTTTTGTCATGTGAAACTATTAAAATAACCACTCCCTTCACCATTTTACATTTAGTGACTCTTAATAAAGGAGAATAATACAATTTAAAATTCTTCAACTCTATAGCTTTTTTTCAGCTAAGAAAGTCACAAATATACTAGATAATGTTTTTAAAATACACACCAACTAAAAAACCTAAAATTGCTTTTTAATGTGACATTTTGTATGCAAAGGCACTTTACCTTCCATAATATAATCTTTATGTAGCAGAAATTTCTGTGAAATTTCAAATGCTAATAATGGAAAATTACTCCATAAAGATATAGGAATTTTGAAAAAAAAAAAACAGTGAACATAAATCCATCCTGTTGGCTGGGCATGATGTGTTTTTAGTTACAAAAAACCATGTTAACTTATATGAAATTGATTAAAAAAAAAAAGTACTGTAATATTTAGTGATGTACTGATGGCAAAGGTCAATTAAGACTAATGATAGGGTTTAATTTATGTATATAAAGGTAATATATTATTATTAGGTATGCAATTTACATATATGTCACTGCTGATGTATAGGTACATGTTATATATGTTATATTATGTATTTTACATCCTTAATATTATTATAATACATTAAAACCTATTATTAGCCACAATTCGTTTTTGCCATTGGTACATCTCTAGTAATATTGGTTCAAAATCACTGTAATTAATAGAATGAGTGATGAGAGTTGTTAAAAAGCCAATGGTGGTTTTAAGAAATAAACTAAGCTGCTTAGTAACTTGCAGAAAACTAAACTTCTATAGAAATCTTCAAAATAATTCTGTTATGAGTATTTTATGTAGCTTTTAGAGTATTTTTATAAAAGTTCTGTATGTTTATAAGAATTTTAGTATGCTTATAAAAATTCCGCTATGTTTATAAAAATTATGTTTATAAAAATTCTGATTTTAAAAATATACTTGATATGACTTAATAAATTTCATTTAATCTGCAGATCTGTTGCTTCGTTTTTTAATTATATTAGTTCTGTTCTTTTTTTTTTTTTTTTTTTTTTTTTTTTAAACTATAATTATTATTATGTATTAAGTTAAAAAATTTTAAAGATTATAATTTATGAATTAATACCAAGATTTTACTTAATAAAAATGTCATCAGCTATTGTATGAGATATGATACTACTAATCCTTTTATTATTATTATTTGATGTTAAAGTTTTTGTTTTTATATATATTTCCAAGTAAAGTAAAGAAAACACTGTAAATGCATTAAAAAAGGCTTAATGTTATTTTTTGAATGACTGTATTAAAAAGAAATTTGAATTTTTTAAACAGTTATTGCTGTTTAAAAGATAAAAATGGTGTTGTTTGAATGGTGAGAGCCTCAATGGAAATATATAGTTTTAACTTTTTCTTATTGTTGGTAACAATTAGTTATTAAACATACAAAGAAAGAGTTTTAGTAATCCTTTTAAATTTTTTTTATTGATTTTTAGTTTTTAATCTTTAATAATATTTTTGAAAGTTATTATATTTTATTCGTATATATATATATATATATATATATATATATATATATATATATATATATATATATATATATATATATATATATATATATATATATATGATACTTAAGAAACTGATACTTAAGCTGGTATTTCAATATTTTGCATTACTCCAAAAGTAAAAATGACTCATTTCATTGTTTTATTTTTTAAAAAAATTATTAACTCTGCCTTGTGGTTTATAAATTAAATTAGATGTCTCCGAATCTCCCAAATCTATCATCTCTTTTTATGACTAGTTTTCTTTATTGTATGTGGATCATTTAAAGCCCAATCAAAATTACTAGCAAAAAATATATTTTTCCTTTTTTTTCCTTATATTAAATAACAACTCAATTTTTTTTAGAGTGAATGTAGAAATTGTAAAATATCTTTTTTTCATACTACATATGTGTGTATTCATACACAACACACAATTAACATAAATATCAGTCTACAGAAAAGTAAATACTGTGAAATGTTTTGTTTACATAATAGGCTCCTAAAATCTAGTTAAAACAAATATAATGTAAAACAAACATTCAGTAAACAATTTTGCTATATTTAAAATGTAATTGTTTGAGCAACATTGGTTGCTGAAAGAGTGAATGTTCTGATACAAATAAAAAATGGTTTTTGCTGAGATCAGAACAGGGATTTATGAAAACAAATAATTCATCTTAAGTGATTATATTGATATTTTAATATAGGGTGTATTTTCATTTTAAATTCAGAAACTTCTTAAGTTTTGATATAACACATGATAAGCTAACTCAATCAGTTAAATTAAAAAAATAAAGTTTTAGAAACAAGTTTTTAAGTATAAGTTTTCAGTATCAGCTACTGATAATATTTCAAATCAAAAAGTTACATTACTTTTATTTGTTGAAATAATTTCCTGTATTGTGTAAATCCTTTGTCTAAAATTATGATTGTAATCATTCATTTTTTGGGACAGTTAATATTTACTTTAGTCTATTAAATACTTCCTATAAACTAATCTACAATAAAATTCTATTATGATTGATTTGGTTCTGATAAACGCTTAACTTTTTTCTATATAACTAAAAAAGTTTAAACCATTTTAATAAATTAATCCGAGTTGTTATCCATGTGTAAAAAAAAAAAAAAATTTGGGGTGCCTTTAAAGTTTTTATTTTATTTCATAAATTATAAAAACAATTTTTTGTTGTTGTTGGTGATGATAATTGTTAGCTATTGATTTATTATTTTTAAGTTCTATGATTTATCCTATTTGATTGCACAAAACACTTTATTTTTATTATAAACATATATAATAATTTTATCAAATAATATCAATATAAATTCTTTTGAGTATTTAATGCTATTAGTTCATAAGATGTGAATTGTTTTGCAACATAAGCATCCATTATGTTTTTTTTTTAAATAAAAAAAAGGAAAATCTTTAGTAAGATTTGCTTTTGTTTTTAATATTGTTAGCTCAAAAACACTATTTAGTATAATGTATTACAGCTGACAAACAGACTGGAGTTTTAAAACATTAAAAAAAAAATGTCTAATGTTTGACCCTTACATACAACTTTTGAAATGCGATATGAGAAAGGTATTTTTTGTTTTTATATTTATGCATATTATCTTGTATTTAGCAGCTTAAAAGCAAATAAGTTTAAAAATGTTTTATATTGAATTAAAGTTATAAATATGCATTTTTTTTGTTGTTGTTGTTTTTTTGTTTTTATACTTTTTTAAATTAACATTAGGTTTAAATCAAAATGCCTTAATATATAATATTAAGGCATTTATATATATATATATATATATATATATATATATATATATATATATATATATATATATATATATATATATATATATATATATATATATATATATATATATATATATATATATATATATATATATATATATTATATGTATATATATGTATATATAATACATATTTAATCAGATTTTTAAAAATTTAACCATTTATTACTTTTACAGTCAAAACATCCCTGATAAGTTATCTTATTCATAACTATAAAAGAAATTATTTCATAGTTAGTCTTTATAAATTTATCATCAAAAACATATGTTTTTGATTTGTTATATTTTAATATATAACAAAATTATAATTTATATATTTATATGTTTGTATAGTTTTTAGATTATTGATTATATTAGGAGTTTAAGTTATTATTTTATTTACAAAAAGATATTTTCACTTGAACAATATGTTTGCTTTAATCCATAATGATACATTTTATATATAAGTTGAGTATTGATATTTGGAATAAAGATTATTTTTTATATATTTATTATTAGATATATTTATTATTTATGCTATAATTTAATATAAATTGTTTTATTTTACATTACAAAAAAATTAAAAATTACAAAAGTTGATTACATAATCAAGTTTAAAAAACCAACAAAAAAAATTTTTTTATCAATGCAAATATTTAATTTTTTCAACATGGTTTCAATTTCATTGTTACAAAAATACTTTTACAATTTTTTTTATTTACTCAAATTTAAATCTTATAAAAATGGTAGACGATTTGATTTGCATTCTACTTGAAGCAATCAAGTAATGTGTTAGTTTTTATTTTTCTTAGTAGTTATTATACCTTGTCAAGTATACCTCTGTATATCTTTAAGGCTTTTATATGCAAACTATATTTTAATGCTAAATTAAAAAAAAATCTAATCATTGTTCAACATTACAATTAATGATCTGTTGAAAAAAAAAATTTCAAGTTGGATTTTAGTAAATAAATAAATTTGGAATAAAGTAGACTTAAATAACTTTTTGTTGATAGTGTATAATAGTATGATGTTATCTGTAAATCTATTTAAATTTAATGCTATTAAATTTTAGGAAAGACCCATCTATGCTTATGGACCCAAATTTAGTTACTGTGAAACCTGATCCAGATGCTTCTTGCCCTGATATATCAAATGCGTGTCATAACTCTTTTACTCGTACTAATTTTAAACAGAAACTTCAAAGAGAACATCTCATTGAACTAGAGCGAAAAGAACAAGATCGCAAATTCCTTACAGAACAGGAAAATCAAAAATCAAATATAAAGAAATTTTTTAATGTATCATCATCAATTCCATTCTCTACTCCAAAAGAAGATTTTTCTCCTATTAAATCTTTACCAAGCAATCTTCCAACAAGTGTACTTAAGGTAATATTTTGTAAAAAAATTTTTTTTTTTTATAATTTCAAATCAAAATTTTATCAGGTTATTTAAAAAATTTTAATTTAGGTCAATTTTTAAATAAGAAATATTTAAAAAAGACTGAGTTTTTTCCATCAGTATTTTGTCAAAGGTTTTTACTTTTTCTTTTTCTCTTTTCTCTCTTTCTCTCTCTCTCTCTCTCTCTCTCTCTCTCTATATATATATATATATATATATATATATATATATATATATATATATATATATATATATATATATATATAATATATATATATATATATATATATATATATATATATATATATATATATATACATAATAAAAAATATTGGCTTTGTACTCTTGTCTCTGGACCTTGTAGAAAGAAAATTATTTGAAAAAAAAAAGCCTTAGTATAGTCACTCCATCATGTTCATCATTGACATGCAGAGCTTTAGTTGATATATTTAAAGCTGTAAGACCAGTGTATTAAAATACTCAAATGCTGCATCATTATTCTTTGATGGCTGGACAGATAAATATAAAAAACTATCATTTGTTGGTGTAAAGTTTTCTGTATTAACATGTGAATGGATAGAAAAATACCAACATCACAGAGACTTCTAGACTGCTAGGTTGTGAAGAACTTCAACATTGCTTAACTAATTTGCAGAATTTGCTTTTGGTTTCTGATAATCTCACTAAATGTCCTTAAGTTTTAAATTTGCTTGGGAGTTTAAAATATTGTAACATGTTTAGGTTTCAAATATATTGTTCTTATTTAAAAAATTTTGTGTACAAATGATGGTGTAGATCTTATCAATAAGAATATCAATAACAAATTACGAAAAATTGCAGAAGTGAAAGAACTTGATAATCATGAATGCAAAGAATATGATAATTTGCAGAAAGTTTAAAATATAACTCTAAACAACATAAAAGTTTAAATCTCCAAATATGTAGTCTGTGGGCAGTGCCCTATTTATGTCTATTAATCTGCTGTATAATGCTGGCACTCTCTGAATATGTTGTATATAATAAAAAAATTCTGGATTTAAAATTTTTTTGAATAAAAATTATTTTATGGGGTTGCTACCGACCTTCAAACATTAAATAGGTCCCTATTATTATAAAAAAAAAAGTTTTTCAAAAGTATGTCATGTTGGGTCTCAAACGAAGCGAAATTATATAAAAATTTCAAAAATATTAATCATTTTATAATTAATATTTTATTTTAGATTTTAGTGAACAGAAAATTACATTTTTTAACTAAAAACGATTAATAGAGAAATTAACAAGATTTTTTTATTATAATTTTTTTTTTATCAATGTTTTTTTATAAAATGATTAATATTTTTAAAATTTTTATATAATTTCGCTTCGTTTGAGACCCAACATGACATACTTTTGAAAAACTTTTTTTTTTATAATATTAAGGGCCTATTTAATGTTTGAAGGTCAGTAGCAACCCCATAAAATAATTTTTATTCAAAAAATTTTTTATTATATACAACATATTCAGAGGGTGCCAGCAGTCATTTATAAAAAAAGTTGTTTTTAGAACCACCCTAAGATAGATAGATAAATAGATAGATAAATAGATAGATAGATATAGATATATGCATAAATACATATATATATATATATATATATATATATATATATATATATATATATATATATATATATATATATATATATATATACACACACACCCTTACTAAAGCGTTTTTTTTATAAGCATTTGCTCACTTTTTTTGCTTACCTTAATCCATATGGATTTTTTAGAAAAAGAAGAAAAAAAAACGAAAAATAATGAATAAAACGATTGCTGCCCTATCCCAAATCCTCAGTCGATGTAGCAGCACTCCACTGCGAGTCAGGCTATTTGTCAGTTGGTGTATGTACTGAAGCCCCCGGCAGCACGCTATTTCAGTATGACGTCAAATTGCTTACATTAGTATGCAATACTATTTGTACTCACACAGACACTGACAAACATTCTTTTGTAGATTTTGATGAAGGTTGTAGTTGGTTTGAGATATGTACTGAGGCCCTTTCAGATGACTATTTTAGTAATGATATTGCAGGCTAGTGCTGTATAAATCATTTGATATGTGGTATTTTATAATATAAAAATTTGATATTTTAATAATTTGTAATAACCAAATAAAAAAGAATTATTTTCCTAAAGTTTTAAAACCCAAAAATTTTTTATATAAAAATTAATTTAAATTAACCAAATTTAATTCACTATAATTTTCTTCTGATAAAAACTTTTTGTGTTTTACAGGTGGAAACAAATCTACAGAACCCTACACAATATTATATAAAGCAACAACAAAAACGTCAAGTTAGAGAATATTTGACCAATCAGCAATTAAACAAAAATCATTCTATAATGCCTATTTCAGCACCTTCTGTGTTACAAAACTCTAACTTTAATACTCAATTTCCTTCCAACTTTCAGCCATCAGTATCACATTTATCGCCTAATAGTCCTGATACTGCAAGTTCAGTTGCTAGTGGAAGTGAGGTCAGTTAGTTTTTTGTGCAGCTTTTTAATTGTTATCTATTATTTTGAAGTAATTTTGCGATACTTATTTGTTTATACAAAAAATTTTTTATACAAAATCAGGTTGATAGTGTATTTGAAGACTTATTTGCGTGAGTTTTTTTCTTTTCTTAAATTTGACTAATTTATTATACATTTGTTTGTTTGTTACTTGATAAAAAAAACAACTGGTATTTTAAAATTTTGAATGTATTTTTATTTTTAGTAGCATTAGTATTGTCTATGTACAAATTTAAAATTATAAAATGAAATGAAAGGGAAAAAAGCCATTCTTTCAAAATAATCTTTAAAATGGAAAGTTTGTGGAATTGTGTTATAAAGTAACAGAAAATAAGTTTAAAGTTAAAAAATAAAAATATATATATCATATAAAAATAAATCATCACTTAAAGATCATTTTTTACCTTGTGAACTTCTTTATTTGAAGACTTTTTGAATTAAGAAATAACAATTTCTATTGCAACAAAAAACGACATCTTACTATTTAAAAAAGTTCTACTTTAAAAAATAAACTACATAATTATTAACAACTTAAGTATAACAATAACAATTTTCAAGACTTTTTGAATTAAAAACAACTACTAAAAAAAAAAACTTATATAATTACTGCAACTACTAACAAGTTAATTAAAAAATGATTTTCTATTACATCTATCAAAATGAATTTCTATAAAATCTGCTAATATAGTTTACAAACCTACCATCTGAAAACAATTTTGCAGTCCCACAATTTTCTCAACATTAGATTTTGATTAATAATTTTGTTATATATTGATTTATATAAAATATTTTTTTATATTTTGATTATAATATAGTTTAAAATATTCAGACATGGCAGTATGAGATGAACTTTTTTGTAATGATATTCTTTTTTGTAGATTGTTTTATTTACATATTATCAATAAATTTTTAATTATTAATGCTGTTTCAATTAATATATTAATTGGAACAGTATTTTAATGCAATGATTTTTGAAAAGCATGCCAATAGAAAAATATTACAAGTTATTTAAAATATTATAAATATACAGTAGCGTCTAAAAGTTTGCAGACAGACAAAAAAATAAGGAATTTTATTTATATTTCAGCACATGCTTCACTAAAGCCAACATATTAAATACCAATTAAAAGGTTTCCAGGTCAACAATTATATTTTGAGCAAATGATGAATATTTAATTAATGTTTTAAAATTGGTTTACAAAATAGCGATTTTTGATAAGTTCAAAAGTTTGCGGACAAGCTAAAGCTTTTAACATTTTCACCACAAAATAGCTAATTTGTTGATTTTATAAACAAATACTTTGTGGAAATAATTTAAAAAATTTATATATAAGTGATTGAGATCATGAGATCTAAGAAATGTATTTCATCTCCAGGGAAAAAATTGATCTTGAGATCAGTTCAAAATGGAAACTCGTTTTGTAAAACAGCACAGCTTTATGGAATTGGTAAGTCTGCTGTTGGAAAAATTATGAAGAGATATGAGCTTACTAGATCTACAAAGAATAAAAATCAATCAGAAAGGCCACACAAAACAACGCGTTATCAGGATAAAAAGTTTGTAATACTAACCAAAGAAAATTCTCATTTGACAGCTGTCAACTTAAATGTACAAATGAGACGTTTCTATGGAATAAATTGTAGTATTTCTACTATAAAACTTCGTTTACGTCACGTTAATTTATTTGGAAGACGCCCAGCTAAAAAACTATTAGTTTCCTTGAAAAACCGTAGCGCCCGAAAGGAATTTGCATCAGAACATCTAAAGTGTTGTAAAAAATAAAGAGTTGTAAAAAATGGTCAAAAATTCTTTTTAGTGACAAAAGCAAGTTTATGCTGTTTGAATCAGATGGAATCAGTTACGTTCGATGTCTAGTAGGTAAAAGGTACAATCCTAAATACCAACTGGCTACCGTAAAACATGGAGGAGGTAATGTAATGGTTTGGGTATGCCTTTGCTGAAATGGAGTTGGTCCTCTCCATAGAATTACTGAGACTATGAATCAAGAAAAGTTCAAAGATATATGTAAGATCAGTGGTGTACACTGGATTTATAGATGTTTGAGTTTTGACACTTACACATATTTTGCAAACTCCAAACTTTTGTATGTTCATACTTATGTCAAATGAAAATGTTTTTCAAAAATTTGTGGTGATTGGAGCTTGGGGACAAAAAAGCCCCAATTTTCAGGCCCACCCAGCCCTTAATGTGGGAGCAACAAGTTGACAAAATAATTTCTTTAGTATTTTTATCTAAGTTTATATTCATCAACAAATTTCAAATTTCATGCAATAACCTCTTAGTTTTTAGTTTTTATGACCCTACAAAGTTTACAGCCCCCTCAAATTAAGGGGGGTTAAAACTTTATATGGTCATAATTTTCGAAAAATAAGAAATTATTGGATGAAATTTGAAATTTGTTGATGAATATAAACTTAGATAAAAATACTAAAAAAATTATTTTATCAACTTGTTGCTCCCATGTTAAGGGCTGGGTGGGCCCAAAATTTGGGATTTTTTTGTCCTCAAGCTCCAATCACCACAACTTTTTGCAAAACATTCTCATTTGACATATTTATGAACATACTAAAGTTTGGAGTTTGCACAATACCTGTAAGTGTCAAAACTCAAACATCTAAAAGTCCAGTGTACACCACTGGTAAGATATATGTAAGACCATATGCAAAGGACAAAATGCCTCGAGGATGAATATACCAACAGGATAACGATCTTAAACATACAGCCAAATCGGTTTTAGAGTTTTTCAAAGAGAGTAAAGTTAATGTTTTGAAGTGGCCATCCCAATCACCTGACTTAATTTCCATCGAACATCTATGGGAACATGTTGACCATCAAATGAAAGGAATCAAGCCTACAAATTAAGCTGATTTGTTTAATAAAATCAAAGAAGTATGAGACTTAATTCTTATTGACATTTGCATTAGTTTAGTTGACTCTATGCCTCATAGATGCCAAGCTATTCTTGATTGTAACGGATATCCTACAAAATACTAATGTGATTTTGCTTTTGTATAAATTTTGATCAAATATTGTTGAAATATTTATACTATTTAAAAAAATAATGCTTTGTCCGCAAATTTTTAAACTTATCAAAAATCGTTGATTTGTATACCAGTTTAAAAATATTAATTAGATAATCACTATTTGTTCAAAACCTAATTGTAAACTTGAAAACCTTTTAATTGGTATATAATTTGTTGGCTTTAGTAAAGTTTGTGCTGAAATATTAATAAAATTCCTTATTTTTTTGCCTGTCTTTTTGGATTCCACTGTATATTGGAATGTTGTGGTACAAAAATAGTTGCTATTCAGTTTTGGGCAATAAACTAGCTCTTGTATCATTAAAAATGTTACCTGCCTCTTAGAATAGTCTCATTTGAAATGTTACTTAAATTTTAAATAATTAAAAAGTATAGGATGCCTAATACAGTAAATATTTCAATTTTAACCTAAATGGAAAAATAGAAAACAAAGAAACAATTTTAAATAAAAATAATATGCAACTTAAAACTTTTAATAAATAAAATTATAAGAAACAAATAAAAACAACATAAGATAACAAATAAGATAACAAAACAAATAAGATAAAAAATAAAAACAACAATAGATTTAAATGAAACTAGAATCAAATTAATGAAATATATATATATTATAAATATATATTATAAATGTATATTATAAAGCCACGATGCTGAAGTGCAGGCTTTCACTTTCAATCTTGAAGGTAAAAAATTACAAATATAATTCTTGTTCCGGCCGGAATTTTATTAACAATTCTGACAAAATCGGTTCTGACCAGAATTTAAATTTTCCAATCCAGTACACCCCTAATATATATATATATATATATATATATATATATATATATATATATATATATATATATATATATATATATATATATATATAATATATATATATATATATATATATATATATATATATATATATATATATATATATGTATATGTATATATATATATATGTATGTATGTATGTATGTATGTATATTTTTTTCAAAAAACTAAAAGTATGAAAATTTAAATATACAACTATATTAGTTATTTAAATATACATATAATATATAAAAATATATAATATACTTAAAAATATATATATACATAAAAATATATAATATACATATAATATATTAAAAATTTAAAGTATTTAAATACACAACAAATAATTTTTTTTTTTTTTTAAACCTTTCTTAAAATTTTATTTTTATTTGTTTGTTTTTGATTATGTTTGTTTTGTATTATGAAAAATAAAATTTGTTAAACAGCCTTTGAAAACTATTATCTTTAATTATTTTTTTTATTATGTTACAGTAATTGCATATAAAAATTTATAATAAATTTTGAATTATGTATTTTTAGATTGGATAATAGTGTTGATCAGGATTTTTCTATATTTTCTGATAACATATTTTCAACAACAGTAAGATGTTTTTCACAAATTATTTTCAACAAATTTTCAATTAAAGATTTCAAATAATCATTAATAATATTGATAACAATTAAATAACATGTTGTTTTTTTTTGTTGTTGTAAAGCTTCCAGCAAGATATAACATCTTTATTACTTTTTTTTTTGTTGTAAAGCTTCCAGCAGGAAATAACATCTTTAATACTTTTGCAACAGAAAATAATCAAGAGGAGGTATTTTTTTTTTTTATTTTAGTATTAAACAAAAGATTGTTTTTTTCCCTTCTTTTCATTGTTGTTAAAAGATCTGAAAGATATGAAAATAACGCTAGAAAGCTGTTTAATCAATTTATATTTTGGTTTAGAGCAGAATTTTTTATATAATGCAATCATTTCTATTTTAGATTAAAGAAAAAATCTCAACTTCGTGTCCCATTAAACAAGGTAAATTTTTCTTTGGTTTAAAAAAATTTAATAATTTTCTGATATTTAATTTTTGACAATTTGTTTTTGATGCATGCTTCAATATATTTACTGTTAAAAGGTCTGTATATTAAGCTAATGAAAGATAAAAGTAATTGCTAAATAATATGTTGGCATAATTAGGTAAAAACCAGGGGTGGGTAGCCAGAGCTGTGACAGCTATAGGTTTTCGCTCGGAGACAGTCATTAAAAAACTGCTGGCTCCTTGGGTCCATTCAGTTTAATTTTTCAAATCAATTTATTATTTATGCTAGATTTCTAGAAAAGCTTTCCATTCATTCTATGTTTGTGGTGTTTAAACATTTAGCTCATTAAACATTAAAAAAATTTTTTTTTTAAATACTTGTCACCAAAACCAGTGCCGGAGCTGGAACAAAATACTTAGAAGCTGGAACCATAAGGTGGAGCCACAAATAAATAAATAAAACCTGTAACGGGAGCCACATGTTTCAAAATTTGGAACCAGAGCCATAAAAAATTTTTCCTGCCCATTGGTAACAATAAATTGGGCTATTGGTAACAATATAAGAATAGTAACTTTTTTAACTTTTTGTGTGTGAGAATGTATGTGAGTTTTTGTGTGTGAGAATGTATAGTGAGTTTTTGTGTGAGAGAATGTATAGTGAGTTTTTGTGTGAGAGAATGTATAGTGAGTTTTTGTGTGTGAGAATGTATGTGAGTTTTTGTGTGTGAGAATGTATAGTGAGTTTTTGTGTGTGAGAATGTATAGTGAGTTTTTGTGTGAGAGAATGTATAGTGGCTTGAAATTGATATGTATCTTTACTACTCCTGATTTAGTAATGTAATTTTGGAAATTTTTTGCAACTTAAACTAAAATTTTGGGTACACCCCAATCTTTCGAAAAACCAAGAAAATAAATTTGAAAAATTGAAGTTTTTTGTTTTTTAAAGGTTTTCATATCTAATTGCTTTAACACATAGTTGATGTAATGAAACTCTTGTCAAATCCTGTTTCTGATGTTAATAGTTACATTTTATCTATATCTAAGTACGCATTAAAAGATATATGTGTGTGTTTATGTGTGTGTGTACACTCACATTTTATATACATACATGTTTAGCAGCTTCAACCTTGTAGGTAAATCTTTTTGTAACTGATTTGGATTTTGATGAATCAAGTCTATTAATTATTTTGATGAATCAAGACTTTATTTTACTTTTCTTTTGTCATTAAATCTTTATTTCTCACAACCTCTCTGTTTTCTGTTTATAAATTTGTTCTCTTTACAACATTTTATGACAATTCCAGCAGATAATTTTGGAACTTTACATGCTTTTGAAAGTATTGAATATGAGCACAGTTTTTGAATATAAGCAAAGTATTTTCTATATAAAGTTTCAAAATGTTTTTTTGATTTTCAAGTTTATTACATAGTAAAAACTAATTAGATGTAAACAAAACTATACCCACACACAAAAAACTACTCATGTATGCATTTTTTTTAAATCATTAGAATTAGGTGGTTTCCAAGATAAGTCAATTTAAAATCGTCAAAATTTCAACTCAACATAGTGAAATCTCCTATTTTTCTTACAATAATTTTACAGTTGCATTTTCTTGCTTTTGCTTTTTTTTTTTTTTTATCCTGTTTGTTGATCTGTTTGCTTCCTAATTGAAAAATGTAAGTTTGAAATAAGGGAATTATGTTAGTTAAACTGAATGCTAAAATGGATATCTTACACCTGATTAATTTGTAAATTTGATTAGTATCATGTATGTATGATTGTATTTATATGTATGTATGTGTGTATATAAGTGTGTGTATATATGTATGTATGTATGTATTCCTTTAACATCTGCTTTTAAATCTAGAACATCATGAAGGATTTTTAAAAGATAGACAGAAAAAAGACAATCATAACTTGAGTAAGTTTTTTTTGTTAACAAAATAAATGTTGTAAATGATAGAATTATTCAATCAAGTTAATATATACATTTAAAACAAGCTTTATGACTTTACTTGGATAGAAATGAGAAAGTGATAGTGTGTTTCTGTATTGTGGCCTAACATGAATTATGTTGAGAGGGTAAAAATATATTAATTTTTTCTGTATTAGTGGTTTAAAATGATAAACTTTAAACTTCAAATCAGCATAGATAACAGTTTTATTATCAGTCATATCTAGTTGATTGTATGCTGAACACATTTAAAATTCCATTGTTTAAAATTTTAGATATAAAAGACATGTGAATATAAATTTAAAAATAAAAGACATGTGAATATATAAATTTGTATGAATGCTAAAGTAGGATCCTATAATGCCATTTTCTTAGTTAAGTATAGCAGAAGATTTTTTCTTTAATCAGTAAAGTTAATATTTCCAAAAATGTAACATTTTTAAAAACATTTTTTTAACTTCATTTATTTACTAAACAAAGCAGTAATCATTATTAAAAAAAATTGACTTTATTTATATCAGGGCTGTGGAGTCGGAGTCGCATATTAAATGTTTTATTATTCAACTAACGTTTATTTTGTTAAAAACTTTTTTGAAAAAATAAAAGAAGTTATGTAATACTGTTTAAATATGTGAATAACATTTGATTCGTTACTAAAAAATTATTTTTCATTAGAGTCTAAATATAAAACTTTTTCGATTGTTAATTTAAAAACATAGGAAAAGATCAAAGTTTCGAAGTTACTTATCAGAAACATAATTGTAACCCTAGTTTAAAATAGTTTACTCTTGCAGTTAATTTTTTTTTAAATTGAATTTATTAAAAATTGATTTTATTGAAGAAAAAAAACTAATCTTAAAGAATTGTGTTTTTTTTTGAGATTTAAGAAACCGTACTAAAATATATGCATGGTCAGAATTACAATTTACAAGAATTACAAATAACAGTGTGGTCAAACGCCTTTCCCAACCAAGTCTGATATGTGTATGTGTGTATATATATACATAACATATGTTTACATATATATTCATATATCCCTTTTTATTCCTTATTATTTTATAGTTGAACGTAGAAGAAGATATAATATCAATGATAGAATAAAAGAGTTAGGAACCCTGGTACCAAAACTTGACAAGTAAGCTATTTATATAATCACTTGCTAAAGTTTTTATTATCTGTTTAGTCTTTTTATTATTTAAGTATATTTACATTTAATTAATAACCAGTTTTTATTTGTGGCACATCAAATGTTTATATATTAGGTTAGTAAACTTTTAAAGGAAAATGTTTTCTAATGTAAAGTATAATGAAAAATATAAATTAATTATGTAAAATATAAATTTTTATACTTATTTTTATAACTATATTAATATAGCTATTTATAATTAAGTTAACCCTTTTTGGCATACTTTTGATGTGTTTTTTATCCGTTTCCTGCAATCTTCCATTATGGTTCTGGTGCCAAATAGTTCTTATTATTAAATACACTTTATTTGTAATATTTTCTGTAGATATTTCCTACTTTATTAGCATCCAAACATTTTCTACAGGATTTAGGTCAGAAGAATTTCCTGGCCAATTAAGTAATGAAATATTCTACTCTGATAAATATTTTTTATTTGATTTGGCGTTATGAAATGGTGCTTTGTTCTGCATGAAGTTTGTTTTTTTTTCACCTTGACCAAACTATTCTGCCAATTGTAGCAACAAACTTTGTTCAAGGATTTTTTTGTTATTACTACTGGTTCATTATTCCTTTGACAATATAAAGCCTCCCTATTCTCTTTCACATATCACTGACCAGATCATTACAGCGGTGGGGTGTTTAGCAGTTTGAATGATGCATTTTCCCCCTTATTTTATTTTTAAATCTTGGGTTTTCTTTGTTAACACATTGGAAAGTACTCTTGTCACTAAAGTATACCTTAGAATATTATACAAGAATTGTTAAGTAAACCTTGAAAACTTAAAGTTTGATGTTATAAATTTGAAAATAATTTGAATTAACTTTGCCAATTTTTGATCGTCTTCTGTTAAATTTCTGTACTTTTTGCCTATTCCAACCTCTTTTGCATCATTTTTAATAAAAATTTAGGCTTCTTAGCTGGACTTCGTTAAATATAACCAAGATAGTTCAGGCAACGTTAAACCATTCTCTTTGATATTTTGACTCCAGATTGGTCCAGCTTTTTAGTTATTTCATTGTTGGTAACCTGCCTATTTTTTAGAACAATCTTGGTTAGTATTCTTTCCTTGCGTGGTGTTATGTTTCTTTTCTTTCCCCATTTACCAATCTTCTACACTGTAAATGTTCTCCATATTACCCTCTTTTTTTGCGTATATTTTGTACAGAAAACTGCGAAATACCACATTTTCTGGTGATTTCTTGTTGAGAAAAATTAGTATTTATTAAAATTACTCTTGCAGCAATTTTTTTTGTAACTTTTTTTTCTCCATAGCCAAAATAAAATGTATAAGTGTCCCAGTTGAAAATTCGCTTGGGTACTCATAAATTTTCAAAATATTACATCAAATATAATTATTTTTATTTAAAAATAAAAAGAAATATTCAAGAAACAATATTTTTACTGATTTAAATATTTTGAAGATAACTTGATAAACAAATTCAAAACTCTGGTAATAAAACTCAACTATTGTACAGCAAAAAGGTTATAATTATATATATATATATATATATATATATATATATATATATATATATATATATATATATACACACACACACACACACACACACACACAC